AAATTGACCCTATTTATAAACTATTTCAAAAATTTAACCTCTACAGAAAATATAACACCAATCTGCTCTTGTTTGACCGTTGACCATGAAGTCAACCCCTACCTACCCGGGTATATTTTGAAATTTTTTACCTACCCGGGTACACCCCTCCCTACTCGGGTATATTTTTTGAATCTGAAAAATGTTTGAATTATTTACCCGGGTAGAGAGGGGTGTACCCGGGTAAATAATCATACCTTTGTTTGCAGTTTCTACTTTCTACATATACCGTGCCTTAGTTTGGTTTATGAGAAATTCCAAGAAGGCTAGTAGAATGTTTTCGCTTATTCTGCTGTATACTCGTTCCTACTTTGGAAGTTTGTGCTGTGATTATGTAAATGAATCTGCTGATTCAGAATTTGTCTTTCTCGTTTGATTCTATTCGGCCTTAATCATTGTTTCAGTGATAAAAAATGACCTTTTTTTCTTCACCTATTGAGCGGTTAATCTGCTGATCCATCTTTCTGATGCTAACAACTCATCATGATGCATCACTGCTTACAGCTAGAAATAGATTAAACAGAAACAGCCCTATTTTCTTTCTTTGTTCCTCTCAAACCCCCCGGGTAAATAATTCAAACATTTTTCAGATTCAAGAAATATACCCGGGTAGGGAGGGGTGTACCCGGGTAGGTAAAAAATTTAGAAATATACCCGGATAGGGAGGGGTGTACCCGGCTAGGCTTCATAGTCAATGGTCAAACAGGGGCAGATTGGTGTTATGTTTTCTGGAGAGGTTAAATTTTTGAAATAGTTTATAAATAGGGTCAATTTGATAATTAATTATTAAAAAAAGGGTATAGTGGTCAAAAAGTCCATACATATGGGTTCATTTTTTTTAGAGTTATTTTAGATAATTTTGTCTAATGTTCATCAAAACAAAGTTGTTTTAGGACATGTTTGGTGTGATGTATAAGACCTGATAGTATAAGCTTATACTATTCGTTACGATATTTTTAGTTATTTGGTGTGACCATCGTATAGTATAAGCTTATATAATAGGATCCCTTTATATATCAAAATGATGTATAACTTAATCAAGCCTAGGATGGTAGGATTAGGCCTGATAAGGGATTGATGTATTAAACAATGCAATTCTCAAGAATTAATATATTATTTTGATATTAGTATGTTAAAATAAAAAATAATTTTTTAAAATATTGGAGATTTTTATTTTTATAAAAATCAATATACTTTTTGGACACACTGATCAACATATTTCTATAAAAAATGATATCATCTGATATATTTGGAGAATTATGTAAATTCATTATTAAAAGGTATTTTGACAAAAATATTTATTTTTAACCTATCTAGTATTATATAGTGTATTACCAAACATTGGATGATATTACTTATATAATATAGTATCTTATACAATATCATGTCAAAAGCTGGATAATATTAAAATTTAATCAGGTCTTATACAATCATGCCTTATACTATCAGACATTATCTTATACTATGTATCAAACATGCCCTTAGGGTAGAAATCATGGTATATTTGTAATTTTAATTTATTTCAGGGTTATAATAGTCCTTATCATTCTAATTTTTTAATTTTTCAACCTCAAAACGACATCGTTTTGGTGACATTAGACAAAAATATCTAAAGTAACATTAGCTCTTTTTTTCCTATACATATTTATAAAAACTTTTATTCACCTTGTGCTAACATTATTAAGGGTTTAATGTTTCTCATATTATAGGAGATAAATATATCTCTTGTATACATACACATAAAAGTATATAGGCTCGTATGGGTCTATGTGAAAAGAAGAAAGAGAAAATATAGACCCCACACATTTTTACGTATGTATTGAAGATAAATTTCTCTCCTATAACATAAAAAAATATCAAATCATATTATTAATGGGGAATATGTTTATTAATTGTATAAAATAAAATTGTCTCATATACATACAAAAAGTTGGTGGGATCCACTTTTTTCTTTTTCTCTCTTCTTAGTGGGTCTCATATCATCTACTAATTGGTGTGTTGCATGAGATACAATTATCTCATGCAATATGATAAACATATATTTCATTATTAATATACATAAAGGGAAAAAAGTATCTAATGTTACCTTAGATAACTTTATGTAATATTCATCAAAACGACGTCGTTTTGGGGTTAAAAAATTTAAAAATTGGAATGATAAAGACTATTATAACCCTGAAATAAATTAAAATTACAAAAACACCATGATTTTCGCCCCAAAACGACGTCGTTTCGGTGAACATTAGATAAAGTTATCTAAAGTAACTTTAGAAAACACAAACCCATACATAAAATATAGAGATAAATATTTCTCTAGTTATTGAAAATAAAGTTATTTATAAAAATAAAATTATTTTCAATGAACATAAAACGACGTCATTTTGAGATTATAAGATTAAGAAAATTATAATGATAAATACTAATATAGTCTTGAAATAAATTAGAATTATAAAAATATATTTTTCTTAACCTCTAAATGACGTTATTTTGAGCTTGCAGAAGATAAAGTTTTCTCATCTGAGGGGAGAAATTTAAACGGTTTATCGTCTATCATTTAACATGACCACAAAAAATTTCCTACACACACAACACTTTGTGGGACCCGCAGCAAAAAAAAAAACTTCGACATGCAAAACGAATATCTATAACATAACACAATCACTTTTCCTACAACATAACTCTTATAAAACCCAAACTTAAATACCATAAATTAAATACATATTATTTTCATCAAACCGTGCAAGAATAAAATTGAAAGATGATAAATAAGTTAAAAAAAAGTACTTAATTGAAATTATATTAATGTATTTTCTTTTTCTATTTAAGATCAATATATGTAATAAATTATTTTTTTTAACTTGTTATGAATATACTTTTGGTTTTATTAGTGTTATGTTACATGATTTAAGTATTGTTTCCAACACACACACACAAAAATGGAGAGAGAAAGTGGAATGATAAAAGAGAAAGAAAAACATGTGGATCCCACCTCTTTAATGTGTGTGTAGGAAAGTGATGTTATATCATGTTACATGATAAACATAAAACCCATATACTTTAGCAAAGTAACTATAAAAAATTTCGAAAATTTGAAAATTCTAGAAATATATAAATTGGGGAAGGTTATACTTATAACCTATTTTCATTTACAACCTCTTACAATCATATCTTAACCGTTGATTTCTGCCAATCAATGGTTATTATTTATTGTGAATTAGTAATTAATTAATAAATTTAATTTGCAAATATCTTAACCATTGATTAACGGAAATCAACGGTTAAGATATGATTATAAGAGGTTGTAAACAAAAATAGGTCGTAAGTATAACTTTCTCCATATAAATTAGAAAAAAATCAATAAAAAATAAATTAATTAATTAATTAAAAGAATTTACAAATTTAAAATAAAAATGGCGTGCAGCATTGTAGTAGTAGAAGAACTATTATGTAGAAATATAAAATTATCAAGCTAGTCAAGGGATTTTATATTTTTTATATATGTATCTACAAAGTTGTCATTATAATTTAAACTTCCTAACTTTTCCAAATCCTCACTCGTTCAATTAAATTAGCAACACTTAGATAATTAATTACTTTTTAATATTGCATGCATGGACAAGATATACGTAATTGTATCCAAATAAAACAAAATTCAACCGTAGAAATGATGATCACGTAAGAGTGTAAGTATTGAATATCGACATAAAACAGATTTTATTTAAAAAGGCATATTGGGCTTTCTAGAAAAGGACATGTCCGTATAATTTTGAAAGTTGGGTCAAGAAAATGGACCAAAGTAAGAAATTTATTTAAGCCCATGTTAATCTGTGGCCACAGGCCACAGCGGCGCTTTTGGTAAGGTGTCACACACTGTTTGGCCGAGAGTTTTTTTAGTTTGGAAAAAAACTTCTGCTATCACTGTATAACTATTTTCCTCATATGATAGATTTAGCAAAAAAAATTACTTTTTTATTTTAAAAACATGATAGGGCCCACCATGTTTTTGTATCAGCCAGAGAATATAAAACTTTGGTATAACTTTGGATATCCTCGTCCAATCTCTTTTGGTCATTTTGCTCTCGGGATACGGTTTTGTAGGCTAGCCTCTCATTGGAACAATGAGTGTATTAAACTTCGCTACTGGAAGAAAGATGAGACGAGACTAATCTCCTATCCAAGGAGGGAGGCATATCCTCTACAACATTATCATCATACGGATACAAATCATGATTATGTTATTTTATTTTTAATTCTAATACATTCTCTCATTTGATTTATATTTATACGACTGCATAATTTCATATAATATGAACAGATTCATTCTCTCATTTGTTATTAGCTATACATGTAATTCTCAAATCAATTTTCAATCGGATTTTCAATAATTTTTTGTTAAAAGATAAAGGAAAATAGAAGTATAATGTTGTAGGAAAGTGTTTAGGTTATGTTGTAGAAATAGAGATTGTGGGACTTACACTTTTTTATTTTTTTTATTTTTGAAAATAAGTGTGGATCCCACAATTTTTATCTCTATAACATAACCTAAACACTTTCTCACAACATTATACTTCTTTCTCATAAAGATAAATGCATAGAAAAAGTGCACATGTCCTCACTTAGCCACTTAAAAAAGTGGCTAAAAATTTCTGGTAGTGTGCTTAAAGTCATGGTTGAAAAGTTTACGACCACTCAACTTAGAAATTATGTGATATCCGTGTAGAAAAAGTTTTTCATTAATTAACTTAAACACCATCTCAAGAAAAATCCATCTCAGCACTCAGTGGCAGTGCAAGCATGCAAGGTTATCTGTCTCAATGCCCCACATATATATATATATTGACCATGTTGTTGAATTTTCAAACCTGGCGGCTAAGACTTTTATTTTTATGTGGAATAAATTGTTGCCTTGTTTATTATACACATAAAAAAAACAACTCTTCCCATGTTATTCCGCTACCTCACTATGAATGATCGTCGACATATGTGTTTGATGCTTTCCATGTACATATTGTCGCTTTCATTCAAGACCTTTCCTGCTGATTCAGAGCCTATGAATTCAAACACAGAATGCAAAAAATCCAGCAAGAGTTTTGAGGAAGGATGGCCTTTGCTTCAGACAGCTGTTGACAGAATCATTAATCAAGTAGAAGGGGTTGACAACTCGAGTTTCACATCTCAGGAATACATGTCCTATTATACGTATCCTACACAAATTTCTTTGGTTAATTTTCTTTCATTCTTGTTGAACTTTGAACTTTGCTGTCATTAGAAATTTTTAAAAAAACTTAGTATTCAATTTGATTTCAGTAATATAATTCAGTATGAATTGCAAATTTATAATGATAACCCTAATTTTCCTGCTATATGGATTTGCAAACTTGTAAGTTGCATTGTGAAATTGATATCCTAAAAAAATTTCTCCCCATTTATACCGCCTTGTATGGTCTTAACTCTGGTGTCTAGAACTGTTTATGAATTGTGTACAGATCAACAGCATCTTAAAAATTCCAAGAAACTATATGACCAATATAAGAAGATCTTTGAAGAATATATTAATTCCACTGTAAGTCTAATTTCGGATACTAACTTTAGTTGTTCACTTATTCACGTGCATCAACCATCAGGATTTTGGCATACATGGAATGTCAAGATCCAATAGTACAGACATTATTGTTGACATGATTAAAATTAAATGAGATTTTCCTTTTACTAGGTTCTGCCATCTTTGCGAGGAAAGAAAGATGAAAATTTGTTGAGAGAACTACTCAGAAGATGGTCAAATCACAAAATTATGACCAGGTGGCTCTCAAGATTCTTTAATTATCTTAACAGATATGATATCCCTAGATGGGAGCTTCCTTCTCTTCTAGAAACTAGCTTCTTATCCTTCTATGACTTGGTTGGTGATGAGATTCTTTTGAAAAGTTACATTATGATTTTCTGATTTTTCTTTTCTTTTCCTCTTTCCCCTATTTTAACTCTTGAGTTTACTTCATGTATGTGTCTCAGGTATATGGTGAGATGAATAAACAAGTGGTGGATGCTATACTATATATGGTATTTTATCTTTTCCATTTTATTATGTATGCCCTTTGAAAACGTATGTACGCTCTTTAAAGACTATGTACTTGATTTATCTTCTTGGGGTGCACTATGGCTCTGTTGTTTTCATTGTCAACTATCTAATACAGTGTCACATTGTAATTAAAAAAAAAAGGGTTTTACTATGTCTGAAATTCTGTAATGTGCTTTAATGATGTTTGGTGTTTCTATAATTTTGTTATGCGGTTGAATGGAAGTAATTTGATTATGTTCCTTTTACTGTTCCACTTGATGGACTTGTTTTTCAAAATGCTGCCACAATCAATCTGAAACATTCATATGGGTTTCATCATTGTGATTTTCTTCCCTCCACCCTCCGGTTCACCTGATTTTCACTGTAATGTCTTTTTATTCATTTCATGGCATCCAGATTGATCAGGAACGTGCAGGAGAGCAGATCAATCGAACATTGATTAATAACACGTTGGCTATCTACTCTGAGATTGGAGATAGCACAAGAATAATCAATGCAAAACACTTTGCGGAAAGAATGATTATAGAAAATGTAGCATTCTATTATGATGGGGCTTCAACTTGGATAGCAAGTTCTTCCTTTAAGTATAACAAGCCAAAGGTAAACGCATGAGAAAACCTGTATAACTATTTAAGGAATTCTAGTGCTGTTTTTATCCCAATTACCAAATGGTGCATGCAACTTGAAAGCTAAGGTAAGGCCTAAGGGGTTACACTATTGGTTGCAGGAAGAGAAATTGCATGACAGTCCAATAGCTTCATCAAAGAAAATCAACTTGATAAGCTCTAATGGAGATGTGTTTGAAATAGACTATTCCGTGGCACTTATGTCAAAAACAATCAAGGATGCTATTAAATCCTATTCTTCAAGTGATATTGATAGCATTCATTTTTCTATAGTGAGTAGCAGAATCTTGGCCATGGTCATTGAATACTGCAATAAGCACACCAAAGCTTCCAATTCCAATTACAAAGAAGACACTTCAGATGTTGATCTCAAGGAATGGGATACTGAATTCGTGAAGGTTCACCAACAAACTCTGTTTGATCTTATTGTGTCTGCAAACTACTTGAACATCAAAAGTTTGCTAGACCTTACGACCAATGAAGTAGCACAAATGATTAGAGGTAAGACTCCAGATGAAATCCGCAAATTCTTCAACATTAAGGATGACTTTATCCAACCAGAGGAAGATGAATTTCGTGAACACTGAATAGTATCTTGAGATTTTCAGCTGAAATTATACATATAGACTATGGGTTTATTTCATGCTTAGATTTTCCTTTCCTCTTTTATGTCACTCTATTACTGAAGAAATATTTATATAAACTTAATAAGTGCATTAGACCAATTTTCCTTTCAAGTTATAGAACAAGTAAAATACACATTTTAGAGTGACTTTGGAGTCGGTTTGAATTTTGGAGAAATTAAACCCTAAATTCAGTAAATTGATTAAATAGGTATGGTTTGATTTTTACGAAAATTTTGGCCAAACAAAACGATACAATCCATTTAGGTTGGATAAGTGAAGTTGTCCGTATATTTTATAATATATTTGAAGCATTTGAAAAAAAATCAAAACAAAATAAAAAATTAGAAATTAAGAAATAACTAGAAAAAAAATTAAATAAATAAGAGTTCGGACGATATCTAGTTGGACAGTTTCCAAATTAGATGACTCGAGATTTAAATCGAGAATAGTCAGATATCACTTGCCTTTACCCGATATTTAAATCATACAAGATGTTTTTTTTAACTGTGCATGTTTAGGAATTTATTCAAACATGTGATCTTTCCTTCATATAAAAGTAGGGATTGAGGTTTGTTTTTGTCCTAGGACATAAAATTATCTCATTTTAAGTGAAAAAAAATATACATAATAAAAATCATGGGTGAAGAAAATAAGAGTTTTTTAATTTAAATTTTAAATAAAAAAAATACTAGTTTTAATTAGGGAAAACTTTAGGTTTTTCTATCCTTTTGTTCTTAATTAAATAAAAAATAATTATTTTGTCCCCGTCCCAAAATTATACACACGTTTGTCCCTATTTAATCGATTGATTACATGATATATGCAATCGATTAAGTATCAAAAATTTATTTATTCGATTAAATGATCGATTAATTGCAACTTTTTTCCTATTCTGTTTTGCATTCTCTTCTTCTCTTTGAAACTGAGCATGGCTTCTCTTGCATTCTCTTTTTTCTTCGTCCTTGTCTCGCTCTGTGCTTCATCAAGCTCAGGTAAACATGTCTCTCATTCTTTCTCTCTCTTAAAAATCCAATATTTTTTTATTCTGAATTAATGGCTCTGTTGATTCATTTACATGGCTTTTCCCATGGTTTTTTTGCAAAAAAGATGAACTGAAAATGTTATATATCAAGTGTGCGCCAGCAAGCAAGAATTGCTCTGCCGAGAATATTCTTGGAATGGAGGAAAATTTGGCTGTTCATTCAACATTTCAGAAGTATTAATGATGCCATAATACAACAAAACACAACCAATATTTAGATACTAGATTATTTAGTAATATGCACGTTGAACTAGATTAAATGTAATACACTATTTGTTATTTATTTCAGACATGATGTTATTATAGAATTATTACTTTTACACAACAAATTTTAAGGTAAAAGTGAACTCTGTACATTTTAAGGTCAACATAAGCTGTCAATTTTATTAAACTTATTGTAATTTCATTGGTTCAAATGAAAATAGAACAATTTTTTTATGGCATCCTTTAATAATAAATTTAGTAAAGGTAGTAACTAAATTTTCACTTGTATATTTGTGTATAAATATTATTTCATTAAATTATAAAAATTTGTAATTTGTATAAAATATGTTAAGAAAGTGTTAAATATTTATTTGTTGAAATATTTTTTAATATATTGAATATGATAAAAAAATTTATGAAATTATAATTTTGGGTGACCCGTGGGCTGGTCCTAACACACAGGGCTTATGACCCATGCAGACCTTTATTATTGAGATTCATATGGTCCTAGCCCAAATGGGCTAGCCGCTACGGCTTAATAGGACGAGTTGACCCATTTTGACATCTCTATTTTAAATAACATAAGATTGTATAATTTTGAGAATATGAAGGTAGCAGATGTGGTCATTCCATCATGTGAGGTGAGATTTTGTTAATTTGAGAGCATGGCTGCCTAATAATGTAATTTAAAATTATCCGTAACACTCTCCCTCCCATGTTTGAGGATGGTCCTGATAAAAGGGTGTGGTTGCTTCCAAACTCCAATTCTATGAACCCGTTTGTTTGCACTTTTGAAAAAAGTAACTTTTATCTCTTCTTTATTTTAGAAGTCATTTTTACAAAAGTTAAAGCTATTTATATTTTTATAAAAATATTTAGATTTTGAAAAAAAAAAATTGACTTTTGACTTCTACTTTTTTTAGAAGTTAAAATTTTTAGCTTCAGAAAAAAGTAGATTTTTGAATTTTTTGTGACTTTTGCTTCTTTTAAAAGCAGACACCCAAACGAACTAAAAATGAAAAGTGCTTTTTTTAATAAAAAAGTAACTTATAAAGAAGAAAAAGCCCATCCAAACGGGCCCTATTTCTGTTAGTGCTTTATACAACTGTCTTGCTAACTATGTGTTGGGAAATAAACACTAATTTCCCCTTCCAGGACCTGTTTAGAATGGTTTCCAACAAGCAAAATATATGTTCTAATGACAACTATGCATGAACCAAAAACACCAAGCAACACAAGTCAATTTTAACGTGGAAAACCTCCTCAATGTTAGGAGTAAAAACCACAGGACCGATTTCGGAGTCCACCCAAATTCTCCACTATCAACAAAGTGAGATTACAAAAGATTCCAAAGCAATTACAATCAGCTATAGCACCATCAAAACAACTTCACAACTAGTTGTACCAAAAATGCAAGAGACATACATATATGACCAAGCTTCTGTCCGAAATTAATCTAAAATAACAGAAGCGTCTACTCCCAAATCGCAACGGTCAGATTAAAGAACAACAAGAGAGGAACACACTGACCAATTTTGAGGACAATCGCACGGTTTACCAAAGAGAAACCTCTCTCTGAACTTCACTGCCCAGAACAGAGCAGAAAAACGATGGCCTCTGTTTGGAGCTGAATAATTCCCTCTTGACAGCTCCAATCGCAAAACTGAACGGTCAAACTCTAGTACAGTATGTTATAAACCTTGTACCAAAATTTCAGCTCAGATCAACAGTTCATTTGGGAGAGATGAATCTCGCAACCTTGTTGCCTTCTGTAGAACTCTACACACAGACCACTTCGGTTTGCAATTTTCTGCTGCTGATGCAGACCTCTGATCAAAATTCTGACCGGTAGAAATGAAGAGGCATGAGTTGGGAAGGTGCTGAAAAAATTTCAGCTCAATCAGACCACAAACGAATGAGATATCACATAATCTTCAGACCTTGCTCCTCCCACTCTTCACCTGCGAATTTTCTGGTTTTGGTGGCTGGTCTCTCCCTTCTTCCTTCTCTTCAGAAATGCTCTCCTCACACACTCAAATGGCAGCTGAGCATACTACACAAAGAAACCCTAGGTGTGCATTCCTTATTGGGTTGGACATTTGGCCTTTTAATTGGTAAAGGCCCAACACTATGAAGGTCCAGATAAAGAAGTTAAGAAGCGTTGGTGTCGTTTGTAGGCGTGGAAGGGACCACAAAAGATCAAAACCTTCTCATGGAAGTTGTACCTGTGTTTGCTGACGAAAAGCAAAATATCAAAGTGGAACGATAGGGACAATAGGTGCCTTTGCTGCAATTGTGAAATAGAAACGACTATTCATGCATTAAGGGACTGCAATAATGCTAGATTGGTGTGGGTTTGCCTCATCCTATCTCAGCATGGTATTGCATTTTATAACGCAATGACATATTAGTGGCTTGCATACAATCTTAGCATTGATTCTGCTATTTCTAAGTTTGATAGATGGTTGTCTATGTTTTTAGTTGCTTGTTAGAAAAATTGGTATTGGAGGAATAAGGTGAACCATGGAGGAGAAGTCCCTCCTCTTAGGATCAAAGTCGAATTAATTAGGAGGTTAGTATTAGATGTTGATAGTGTTGCTGTTAGAATGGGTGGCCTGAGAGAAAGTCCTAGTATCAGCTACCAGAATGTATCTTGGCGATTCCCAGATGTTGGTTTCGTAAAGGTGAATATTGATAGGGTTGCTCACGTTAATCTTGGTCGGGTAGCTTGTGGGGGGTGTTTTTGGAATTCTCAAGGTGTTTGGTTGGGTGGTTTTACTTACAAATTAGGGTTATAATCTTCTTTCTAAGCTGAATTGTGGAGAATTTTAATAGGTTTGGAGAAGACTTGGAGTTGTAGGTCCAGAAGAATCGTTTTGGAAAATGACTCCTAATGGCGATCACTAGGCTCACAAAATGTAGTGTAGAGGTGCAACTATTCTCTCGTATGCGCACATGGCTAGAAAAGGATTGGCAGGTTCACCTTTAACATATGTTCAAGGAAGGAAACATGTGTGCTGATTGGCTAGCTAATTACATGTTAGATTCTTCGGAGCAAGCTGATCAGAGATTTTTTGAGGAACCCCAAGTTGGTATTCATTTATTGTATTTGGGAGATCTTACGTTTGTGGGGAGGGTTCATGTTGTGGCACTTCCCAATTAGGTTTGGTTTTTTCTTCTTTGTTGTTTTTTTTTTTGGTGAATTCTTTGTTGCTCTTTTGTTTGGGCTTTTCAACACTTTTTATATATCAAAAGTAAAAATAAAAAAGAGAGATAAATAATAGAACTCACGGGAAAAAAATGGAAGTTTTTTTTAATTTAAATTTTAAATAAAAAATATTAATTTTAACTAAAATAATAATTCTTTAAAAAGACAAATATTGCTTAAAAAAAATATTTTTCCTATAAAAGTAACATCAATCAATATTAGAAGAAATCAATATCAAATTAATGTTTCTAAATGTCATCAATTTAGGGCTTTATAAAATATCAGTGGAATTCTTTAATTATGGAATTTTACATTAATTTAATTACTAAATATGAAAAATTTATATTTACAAATTTTTTATTTACAAACTCTTATAAATTACAGTATGTCTGACCAATTATACACTAATCAAGAGTGTATGATTAGTTATACTTAATATAATTTGTAAATGGATTCTTCACAACTAAATAATATAAAACAAGATGAATTAAACGATCCATCTTCCCATTTCCAACTCTCAACTGTAGTAATGATTAATGGGTAAACATTTCCAAGAAAAAGAAAACAAAAAATTAAATATTATTATTATAATAGAAGAAGAAAATTTCACATTAAATAAAGAGATAAAGAGTTCTCATGTTACATGAGAAGTATCCTCTCCTGTTACTCTCGCTTTAACATCTGTGCCAATCATTTTTTTATTTTTATTTTTTTTTTAAAGTGAGCCTCGTCTCTAATTTGAATTTCTCATCTTACATGATAAATTGCAAGCACTTAAATAAATGATCAGACTCTGAAACAGTGCAGATTTATGGTGTTGGAGGATATTTATGTTTAATCTATTTTTTCTTTCGGTTGTGTTGTGTGTTCCCTTTTTATGTTGCCATCAATGTTAATGGTAATGGCCTCGTCTTCATTTTCTTCTTCTTCTTCTTCTTCCCCTTGGTCCATCCCCTCTCCCTCTTCCACCTTCACCTTCACCTTCACCTTCACCAACCATTTCTAGGGTTCTCTTTCCGATTTGATTCATCTTCTCTCTCCTTCCTTAACATAAGATTTGCCCTTTCTCTTTCCCTTTTTTCTTTCAAATCTTCGAACCCTGATCCCCCTCTTTTCTTTTACCCCTATTTTAGTCTTATTTTTTTTTAAAAAAATTATATCCTCAACCCTAGCCAATTCGAAATTCTGAAATCTGTTTTGTTTTGGAATTGCTTGCTTCCTTTTGATATCTGTCAACTCCTCTTTTGTTTGGAATCTTCATGTGCAATTGATTGCAGATTTTGGTGTTTTAGTTTGCCAACATGTCAATGAGTGAGCGGAAGACTATCGACCTAGAACAAGGATGGGATTTTATGCAGAAGGGTATCACGAAGCTCAAGAACATTCTAGAAGGCTTGCCTGAGCCTCAGTTCAGCTCTGAGGACTATATGATGCTATATACGTATCCATCTCTGACCTCTTTTTTTGGTTGTTTACGTGTTTGGTTCTTGAGATTTTCTATGTTTAAAATCCATTTAAATCGATTTGGTTCTATATTTCCTTTTGTGCGCTATTTTTCCTTAAATCATAATGCAGGACCATCTACAATATGTGCACTCAAAAGCCTCCTCACGACTATTCTCAACAACTGTATGACAAGTACAGAGAGTCCTTTGAAGAGTACATCCTATCTACGGTTAGTAACACTATCATTTTTAACTGTTTAAATAAACTTGGAAATTATTTATGGCATATATTGTTTGGTCAGCCCTACTTGCTTACAAGGATAAATACTTCATTAAACTAGGAGTTTCATATCTATTAATGTTGAGACTATAGTATTGATGCTGGCATAGGTTGCATGAGCACAACTTCATTGGTTTAGTATTTGTCCAACAATCCAATGACAATTGGATTGGGACATGATACGGGTCATATGTGATTGATAGCTCTTATATAAGGTAAGATAGTTCTAAAAGTTCCAAAACAAGAATAAATATGCCGTTTCATCAGTGTACCTAATTCATGCGACCCTACCCCTTGAATCGTGTTTTGGCACGTTTTATCCCAAATGCAACCGGCTAACTATAGTAAAAGGGACCGAATAAAATTGGAGAGGAAAAGGGATGGAATGGAAAACAGTTGCCTTTCTCATGTTTGGCTGATCAATGTGAGAAGAAAAAGGAAGGTAAAGATTTTTGGCTGATCAATGTGGGAAGAAAAAGAAAGGTAAAGGGTTGTAATTGTAAAACACTAAAATTTTAATATGACCTTTAGTTTTTTTTTAAAGTAACTCAAAGTATGGGACAAAATAGTAAATGCCAAGTTTTCGAAATAAAAGCAAAGCTGTTACTCCTAATTTTTTAGGGGAATAATAAATGAAAGGAAAATTATTCCCTTCCCATCCTTTCCCCTTCCCTCCCTCTCATTACCCCTTAACCAAATAGACTCCTAACTAATTTGGACTGGGTGAGAAAAGTTCACCTTTAAAATCAAATTTCTAAATATCATGGGTTTGTTGTTTGTTCTTTTAAAGGACATAGAGTTATATCATTTTAGGAGAGAGAAAGACACAAGCAATGGAAATCATGGGGGAGAAAGTAGGTGATTTTTTTTTTAATTTAAATTTTAAATAAAAAATATTAATTTGTATCTTTCTCTCTCCTAAAATAACACAACTCCATGTCCTTTAAAAGGACAAACATTTTTACCAAATATTATATGATATTAATTGCTTACATCGAATATATACATGCACACATACATATATGTATTTCTATGGTTTTTACAAATAGTTTCTGTCCATTAGTCGAAACCGTGATGAACTAAAACATGAGTCCTTTACAAACTAAAACTTGATTTGAATTAGTAATTCTTTTGTTTTTTAATCATTTAATTTCAGTAGTTGTAGTGAATATTTTAAAAAAATTAGAATATCTATTGGAATTATGTGATTTTCTTGCATAAAACATAACAAATTAGGAAATGTTTTCTTGCCATACTATATACATACCTGAATGGCTTACCAATTAAGCCTACCACTTGGTATCACGAATTCTACGAAGTGGTGCCAGTTTTGTTGCTGCTTATGATTGTATAACCAGTTTGAGCTCTCTCTATCTCTCGCTCTGATAATTAGTGTTTTTGTAGAGTCCTTATGCTTATCTTATAAGCCATTACGCATATGGCTGAAGGGTTTTTCAAAGTTTGATTGGTCCTTTCTCCTTCGTCTTATAAATGCACTCTTCTTTCATGAAGATAGGTGGCATGTATTATGATGATTTGGTTTACTCTTTTGGTGGGAGGGGGGTTTCATGTGACTTATCTAGTACATTTTAACCATAAAATATTTATATTGTTTGTTTTCAATTATTTTTACTGTTTTACTTGTACTTGTTATTTATTTGTTTCCAACTTTTCTTCTAATAAAATGCCATCTTTTTTTTTTGCCTTGTTCTTATTTTCTTTTTGGTTCAGGTATTACCTTCTTTGAGAGAGAAGCATGATGAATTTATGTTGAGAGAACTTGTGAAGAGATGGGCGAACCATAAAATTATGGTCAGGTGGCTTTCTCGTTTCTTTCACTATTTGGATCGCTACTTTGTTGCTCGGAGGTCACTTCCAATCCTTAATGAAGTTGGGTTGACTTGCTTCCGTGATTTGGTAAAGTTACAATAAACCCTAGATGATGCCATGTTAATTCTTTCTGTTAGCTATTGTTGTCCATGTTATAAATAAAGACAAGCTTTGTAGTGCTACTGCTAATTGGCTATCTTACTATTGTCATTTCATTTAATGCTGCTTCATTACAAAATAAATTTATAGGTTTTATTATTTACAGGTTTACAACGAACTAAATGTGAAAGTGAGAGATGCAGTTATTTCACTTGTATGTTTTTCTTCCTTAGTATCCTAGATTTTCTACTTTTACAAATTTAGATCAATTAACTAATCCTTTTGTTTAAAGATTGATCAAGAACGTGAAGGAGAGCAGATTGATCGAGCTCTATTAAAGAATGTATTAGATATATTTGTTGAAATTGGAATGGGGCAAATGGACCACTATGAGAATGATTTTGAAGCTGCCATGCTCAAAGACACTGCTGCTTATTATTCTCGAAAGGCTTCAAATTGGATTCTAGAAGATTCTTGTCCTGATTATATGCTCAAGGTGTGGTTTCCTCATTCATTCTTACCTTCACTTGGTTTCTTCAATTTCATTACAGTCTGGCCTCTATTTGACCTTGTGTCTTTTATTACAGGCTGAGGAGTGCTTAAAACGGGAGAAAGATAGGGTTGCTAATTACTTGCACTCTAGTAGCGAGCCAAAGTTATTAGAGGTTTCTTTTTGACTTTGTGATACTATTTTGGCTATTTGGTCTTCTGCCATGTTGAGTGGAGTATTGCTAGGCAACTTAAAGAAAAGAAAAAAGGAAAAAAATTGTTATTGATCATAATGGTTTCTTTTGATCTCATAATATATTCTCTGAACTTTTCCCTTGTTTTCTTTTATTCTTCTGGAAAATTTCTCATTTAGAAAGTTCAACATGAGTTGTTATCCGTGTATGCAAACCAACTCCTTGAGAAAGAGCACTCTGGATGTCATGCTTTACTCAGAGATGACAAGGTACTCATGAAATTCTTCATACTTGTTATGCTTACAAGATTTAATGGAGTGGGATATAGATTGGCGGACACTATGTCTTAGAAAGGAATGGAGAAAAGCTATAAGTATGGTGGAGGGTTAGACCCGCTGTTATTCCTATGTTCCAGATGGTCCCTTTTTAGTCATTTTTCCCTTCATTTCCCCCACTTCTTCTTGTCCCTTTCTTTTTTACTTTTATTTATTTATATATACATATATTTTTATTTTATTTTATTTTATTTTATTATTTTATTTGTGTATTTTTATTTATTTATTAATTTATTAATTTATTTATTTTTTTTATTTTTATTTTTTTTATTTTTTTATTTTTTTTTTTACTTTTTTTCCAACCGTTTTGTATCTTTCATGTGGGTTCATCTACCACCGACCCCAATTAATTTGGGATAAAGGTTGTTGATGTTGATGTTGTTGATGTTGAATGTAGTGTTCTCATGGTTTCCATTAAATGCTTAGGTCGATGACTTGTCAAGGATGTTCAGGCTATTTTCTAAAATACCTCGAGGATTAGATCCTGTTTCCAGTATATTTAAGCAGGTTGGTGGTGTTAAGCCTATTTTTATGCTTTTCCTCCCTTTTATGTCAACTGCATTTAAAATTGTTTTCTTCTTCTTCTTTGCTTGCTTGCTTATCTTTTTCTTTTTCCTTTTCCCAGCATGTTACCACGGAAGGTATGGCATTGGTGAAGCAGGCTGAAGACGCAGCTAGTAACAAAAAGGTCTGGTGCTGAAATAGTTATTGTATATTTTTTCTTATTTCCGGTTGAGAGTTTTAATTTCTTGATTGCTATAATTGAGGAAAGACTATGCACTACTATTCTTAGTTTCCAATGCATAATCTCAATATTGAATTGTCTGCTCAAAATTGTTTGTCAATGGTGGACTGTTTTACAAAACATAAAAAGAAAAAGACCTGATAATTATCAACTTGGGCTGTACATTATCTTTTATATTCAAGTATCGTGCCATGGCTCTTTTAAATGCATGGTAGGTGGGACATGATTTTGAAGTTGCTTTCCTGACAAATTGATGTATTAATTGCCTCATATACATGCAATTTTCTTACTGCTGAAGTCGTGAATGATGTCATACTTTTGGAGCAATTTGTATTTTCTACTAACCTTTCTAGTTTGTCCTTTTAAATGAACATGTCTGCAGGCAGATAAAAAGGATATCGTAGGTCTGCAGGAGCAGGTGATTATAAAAAATTTAAATTTTATTAACTTCACTGCAATATTTTTATTTGTGGAAACTGAAATTGGTTTTTCTTCAGGTTTTTGTTCGGAAGGTGATTGAGCTGCATGACAAGTACCTGGCTTATGTGAATGACTGTTTCCAGAATCATACTCTTTTCCACAAGGTTTTGATTAGAGAGTGGCTTTACAATTATATTGGATTGATATGTGCATGTAAATCTGAAAGTTTTGATCATGTAGGCTCTTAAGGAGGCTTTTGAGATCTTTTGCAACAAAGGTGTTGCTGGAAGCTCAAGTGCAGAACTGCTTGCCACTTTTTGTGATAACATTCTTAAGAAAGGAGGAAGTGAAAAATTGAGTGATGAAGCAATCGAAGAAACTCTTGAAAAGGTCCGCGCATCATTCTTGATGTTTCATATACTTCTATAAATGTGATGGATGTAGTTTTGACTTTGGAATTTGGGATTTGTTTTGGTATATCTGCAGGTTGTCAAGCTGCTCGCCTATATTAGTGACAAAGACTTGTTTGCTGAATTCTATAGGTATTTTATATATAAAAAAAGGAAATATATGCGACAACTTTTAGGTTGGATATGTTGGCAAAAAAGGGTTCAATATTGCTTTGCTGGTTCTTTAATCTTCATTTTTTAGCAATTACTTCCATTGTTGTATAAGTTTATTCGCAACTATTTTATAAAATTTCCGCTACTGTTTTTTTATTGTTTCTAAGAATTAAATTTGTTGTTGTATGTTGAAGCTGTGATGATGGAATTTGATTGTTTTTGAATTTTTGGCACAAAAGCGATGATGGAAAATGTCCTGTCTTCTAAAATTAATAGGAGATACCCAAACATATCCTCTGTAATTTTGCAATATATCACAATATTTTACCATGATATTTATAAAAGAACACTTCACCATTGGAGCAACTTGTGATCTTCTGCAAAGATTTATAGTCCCTTTATTATTTTTCTTACATAATTAGTTCCAAATACGTTTTTGATGTAATGTTTACCTTAAAGCTATTTTTATTGCAGTTTCTCTAGGCAAATTAAAAGCAGTTTTATGTGGATATATCTGAATGTCAGAATTACCCTTTTGTTTATGTAAGATGTTTGAAAAAGAATATTAATATAGGCTTCTTACTTGATTGCTTTCAGGAAGAAGCTTGCTCGAAGGCTTCTATTTGACAAGAGTGCCAATGATGACCATGAGAGAAGTATTTTGACAAAATTGAAGCAACAGTGTGGTGGACAGTTTACCTCAAAGATGGAAGGAATGGTCAGTTTTTTCAAGTCTTTGTAAACTGAGGTTGATATATTACATTTAACTTTTTTTGGTTGGTTGACAAGAAAACTAAGATGCTTTTTTGCTCCCACCAGGTTACAGATTTGACACTGGCAAAGGAGAATCAAACTAGCTTTGAGGAGTATTTAAGCAATAATCCTAATGCAGACCCTGGAATAGACTTGACAGTTACAGTTCTGACTACTGGCTTCTGGCCTAGCTACAAATCTTTTGATCTCAATCTTCCAGCAGAAATGGTAACCTGGATCTTCTTGATATGAACAATCTAATATATGGTGCTAATTGTTTGATACTGCTTAACCTGGATTTTGTAGATTTTGGTCTATAGCTAATACCTTTCACTTATTTTTATTTTTTTTCAGATCAGGTGCGTTGAAGTTTTCAAAGAATTTTATCAAACCAAAACAAAGCACAGAAAACTTACATGGATTTACTCCTTGGGTACCTGTAATATAAGTGGGAAATTTGAACCAAAAACGGTGGAGCTGATTGTTACAACCTACCAGGTTATATAACTGACCTCCTGCTTCTTATCTGTAATTTTGTATTTGCTATGCCCTCCCTCTCGTACATTTTTCACTTTTGGGATGTCCACAGATTCTTATATGGATTTCTTTGTACTGACCCAATATTGTCTCATTTTTCTATAGGCTTCGGCATTGCTGCTTTTTAATTCCTCGGATAGACTGAGTTATTCAGATATAATGACTCAGTTGAACTTATCAGATGATGATGTTATTAGACTGCTCCACTCCTTGTCATGTGCCAAGTACAAGATTCTAAACAAGGAGCCAAACACAAAAACGATATCATCCTCTGATTATTTTGAATTTAATTCAAAATTTACTGACAAAATGAGGAGGATTAAGGTAGAATTTTATTAATAAAATAATGTTTTACTCTTTTTCCGTTTGTTTGCTCATCTGAATCTCTATTCTACTTACTCAATTTTGGCGGAATCGTGACACATTTTTCATGCAGATCCCTCTTCCTCCTGTGGATGAGAAGAAAAAAGTGATTGAGGATGTTGACAAGGACAGAAGATATGCTATTGATGCTTCAATTGTGCGTATTATGAAGAGTCGGAAAGTTTTGGGCTACCAACAGTTAGTTATGGAGTGTGTTGAGCAGTTGGGTCGCATGTTTAAGGTTCATATCTGACCACTTTCCTAACACAATCTTGTGTGTCTGTTTTTCTCTCTTGAATCCTGAATTTTTTGTATGCAATGTTATCACCCAGCCTGATGTCAAGGCAATTAAAAAGCGGATTGAAGATTTGATTTCTCGAGACTACTTGGAAAGAGATAAAGATAACGCAAATTTGTTCAAGTACTTGGCTTGATGTGGTCGTAACGACTGTGCAAATGAAGTAAACTGCAAATAGAAAAACAAGAGGATCATGCTTGAACGTTTGCAGAAAAAAAAAAACAATTCTTCCTAGAAATTTCTTTGAAGGGGGAGCTGGGAGTGGTTGTACATTTTGGCTCCATATCCAGGTATGGACTACTACTGTAGATGTGTGTTCATGTTGGAACAATTGTAATCAATTCCATAAGTAGGTCCAGCTCACTGGTAACTTCCCCACCTTTTTTTGCTTTTGATTGCTGCACTTCCATCTCATATAACTTATTTGATGACCCCCCCACCCCACAAAAAAAAAAAAAAGGATTGTGTAACTGAAGCTCCAGTGAAATTGTAATTTGATTGTCAGCTTTGAAATCTCAGGTGAATGGTATGTCTTTTAAATCAAAACCTTACAGCTATGGTGCTCTACGTTAATTGTCTATGATCATATTGCCCAACGACATCTACTTCATTTTGTAGTGTCTATGACATCTGAAATCTGTTTGAGGATGATTGTTGCAAGATTTTAAGATTATATCTGTCTTACCGGTGAATGCTTTATGTAATTGTGGGTATGGCAGAATGGGTATGGATCTTTACTTTTGCATTCACATTACGGGATATCATGTGACTCATGAAATTATCATTCCAGATTATTTTTATTTTTTTGCAAATCCGTTGTAAATATTATCCTCTCTTTTGTTCTGTGACAATGAAAAAAAAGATTCTGAAAATTGAAAAGGATTTGGCTGAAGCACACTTCAGTGATGTTACATGATCCGTCCAAACACTGTTATGAATCTTGGCACTCCATAATATTACAGTCCTGAATCATGTGCTTATCTATGCATGAAAGCATTACTTGCCAGCTTTTACAAATTCTTTTCAAATATGTCAAGATGAACATTAGTTATTGGGCTTCTTTGATTGTTGGCCTATATTTTTAAATTTGACATGGATGTTTTTGGTTTGGAGTTTGGTCTGTATATGAATTTGATTGAACTTCATCCAACAACCCACCCAAATAATAATAATAATAATAGTAATAAAGAAAAAACATTTTTTGTTGAATTCAAATCAAGCTTGAATATAGGTATGTTATCATTATTGAAGCAGGTATTTTAGTTCGCAGTTTATAATTAATATGTGAAGCTAAATGATTATATTATTTTATATTTGAAACAAACTATTATAGCTCAGACAGACGCCTTTATTACAAATTGCAAGTCGCAAATGCTTTTTTTTTTTTACTCTATTTGGCATTGTTAATTAAAATGAATTCGAACTTAATATTCTAAATCAATCTGATATTGATTTGAAGTTTTAGAAAAGTTAGCCAAATCTAACTCTAGTTTCAAACATGAATTTCGCTACTTTGGTTCAATTTGATTCCCTACGTATGGTGCTTGAACGATTAAGGCATTTAGCATGCAATTTGATCTCCGGTTTTGGTCTCTGCTTTTATAAAAAAATGTTTGTATGCGAATTTATGTTGGTTCAAGTTTTGATTGGTTTAGGTTTGATTTCTAAACTGCGATTTTCAACAGGTGTTTTGGTACGGTACCCCGTGCGAACCTGTAGTATTGGTCTAAATTGACCCATCATTATAAACTGTCAGCCTCCAATGTTTACTAATTGTGTGGGAGATGAAGTTTGCAAAGAATATTCAAATTTAATGTAATTAACGTTCACAGAACTTTCCTGCTGGAAGATTGTAATAATATAATTTCTGTAGCATTATTTCTAAATGCTCTCAATTTTATTCACAAACTGTCTTAGAAATACTAGGAAAATGTCAACGAAGACAAAGGAGTAAGGAAGAGTGCAAAACGAATCGCTTCTCTCTCTCCCTCTCAGTTTTTATCTTATGTACCTCCTTAATAATGTTTATCAGTGAATTCAAATTACTTATCGTTTTAGCGACATTGAAGTTGGAAGACTGCAAAACGAATCGCTTATCATTTAGCGACATTGTGTTGTGTCTCCAATTTTTATGACTATGTCAGGTAAATAGGTCTGGCTTTGTGTTGGGAAAACAGGCCAAACCTGTTTAAAACAAGACTGGGTCCTCGACTGGTTTGGCTTGATCCATTTTCAACTCTACTCGGTTATCAGTCTTTTACTCCTCTTGTCTTAATAAGATTTCTATTTCCAAATTATTTTTCATCTCTTATTTTCAAACTGAATTTGATTTAGGTTAGATTCCTAGTTTCATCAAGTCTTTAATGTTTCTAAAGTGAATGTAGATAATCGCTCCCAAAACGACGTCATTTTGGGTTAAAAAATTATAATGAAAAAGACTATTATAACCCTGAAATAAATTATAATTACAAAAATATCATAATTTTCGTCTCAAAAAGACGTCGTTTTGGGTTCACTGTAAATAAATTATCTACCTTGACTGTAGAAAAAACGAACCCTTCATCAAAATATTAAAAACATGCACCAAAATAAATAAATAAATAAAATAAAATATTAAAAACATAGATAAACTTAAAACAAAATCAAATATAAATATCGTGATAAATAAAACATCAAATAGTAGGGTCATCCATATTTTTTCTAAAAACGAAAATGTCTCCATTCTTGCGAACCAAAACTAGCGTTGTTTTGTCCACCCTTCCAACATGCCTTATTTAAGAGGCAGGCACATACATCCTTTTAATAAATTTTCTTTCTTTTTTAATTTTTTTTTTTTTTATATAAAATGATGATACTGAGTCATGCAAATTATCCAAACCCTTTACATTTTACTACTATTAGTGGCTTATTTTAATTATTCAAAATAGTAAGCATTTATGTACCAAAATAAAAAAGTAAGTAGTTAATAAAATAATAATAACATTAAATGCTTTAAAAACAGTTTAAATTTATATAATTAAAATGATTGTCGGAAGGATAATATAGAAAACCCGTGTCATGTGCAAGCTGCAACCAAACAATATCTTCGTTGAAGTCTGCCATTAACAAACAGGGATTGAGGTAAATGAATACGCAGTGCAATGACCAGAATGTTCTTACTTAGCTGACATTTTTAATAGGTCATTTGCGATTCTTGAGGTTTAGTAGAATATAGATGAAGAAGCAGCTGAAGCCCAATTTGGTAATATCACTCTCTTTTTCATCTTCCTCTCTTTCCCGCCAACACAAACCGTCACTGTTCCATTTTCATACCAGAGCCCACCTCGTTGAAAAGCTCCAAACTTGTAAGGATTTAACCTCTGCAAATTCGACCCACTCCAACGTAGTCAAATCCGGTTTGTCAAATGACACTTTTACCATCAACCATCTTATTAGCTGCTATCTGAGGCTTTTTAGAATCGACCATGCACGAAAACTGTTCGATGGAATGCTTCACCGTAATGTAGTATCATGGACTTCGCTTATGGCTGGTTATGTCAGCCAGGGTCAACCCAATATGGCACTTTGGCTCTTCCATCAGATGCAGGGAACCTTAGTTCTGCCCAACGAATTTACATTTGCCACTCTCATCAATGCATGTTCTATCCTTGCCAACCATGAGATTGGAAGAAGAATTCATGGTCTTGTTGAGGTTTTGGGTTTTGGGTCCAATCTTGTTGTGCGTTCTTCCCTCATTGATATGTATGGGAAATGCAACCATGTTGATGAGGCTCGGCTGATTTTTTACTCCATGTGTGTAAGGAATGTGGTTTCTTGGACTTCCATGATCACCACGTATTCTCAGAATGCACAAGGTCACCATGCTCTACAACTCTTTAGGGAATTCATTCATTTGAGGTTAGACAAACCTAATCATTTCATGTTGTGCAGCGCAATCACTGCTTGTGCAAGTTTGGGAAGCCTAGGTTCGGGGAAAATCACTCATGGGATGGTCATCCGTCTTGGGCATGATGCAAATGATGTCATTGATAGTGCACTTGTGGACATGTATGCCAAATGTGGTTGTGTTAATTATTCTTACAAAGTCTTTAGGAGAGTCCAAAATCCTTCAGTGATTCCCTATACTTCAATGATTGTGGGTGCTGCAAAGTATGGACTTGGGACATTGTCTCTACAACTATTTCAAGAAATGATTGATAGAGGAATAAAACCCAATGATATCACCTTTGTTGGGGTCTTACATGCTTGCAGCCATTCAGGGCTTGTAGATAAAGGACTTGAGCTCCTTAACTCTATGAATGGGAAATATGGGGTGATGCCCGATGCAAAGCATTATACATGCATTGCAGATATGCTAGGTCGAGTTGGGCGTGTTGAAGAAGCATACCAGTTAGCAAAATCAGTTCAAGTTGAACTCCAGGGATATGCCTTGTTGTGGGGGACACTTCTTTCAGCTAGTAGACTTCATGGTAGAGTAGACATTGCCCTTGAAGCTAGCAATCGGCTAATAGAATCAAACCAACAAGTAGCGGGTGCATATGTTATATTGTCCAATACATATGCATTGGCAGGGGATTGGGAAAATGCTCATAATCTACGATCTGAAATGAAGCGCACTGGAGTTAGCAAGCAACCTGGCAGCAGTTGGATTGAGATAAAGGAATCAACTTATTTGTTCCATGCTGGAGATGTCTCTAAATGTACTCAAGGGAGGGAGATACTGAGTTTGCTAAGGGAATTGGAAGAGAGAATGAAGGAAAAAGGTTATGTAGGAGGGACTACAGGGTTGGTGTTTGTTGATGTGGAAGAGGAGGCCAAAGAGGAAATTCTGAGTTTGCACAGTGAGAAACTTGCCTTGGCGTTTGGATTAATAAACACACCTAAAGGAGTTACGATCAGAATAATGAAGAACTTGAGAATGTGCAGGGATTGTCATGAGACCTTCAAGCTGATTAGTAATATTGTAGAGAGAGACTTCATTGTGAGAGATGTGAATAGATTTCATCATTTCAAAGATGGATTATGCACTTGCGGAGATTTTTGGTAATGATCTATCCCATACTATCTCAATATTTCTTATAACAACGTCCAGTTTGAGTAATTTAGCCAAGATCAATTTATTTGAGTCAAATCAGAGACAATAGTTCATAGGAAAAGTAAGTTTATTTATTTGCCAAGAAACACTTACCAACGTATACAGAGATATTTCTGGTCAACTGATATTTCTTCTCGGTTGCCCACACAATTTTTTTGATCCCTATCCCTCTACAAAAGATGAGTTATTTACACCCAACTGGTCGTTCCTAAATTGACAATGACAATTTGTCTTTGCCAGCAAGTGAGCAAGCATCCACCTTTAATTATTAAAATGCGTGTAATTTTAACCCAATAAAATTTAAAGGTTAATAAACTCTCTTTTTTTGTACCCAAAAAATAAATAAAAATCTTGTTTTATATAACACTAGTTATCCTGCTAGTACATTGCATTATTTGTTTAAATTAAATATGTATGATTACAGATAAATATTTAATACATTTTGAATAATTTATTTTACATCAAGAAAACCTTACAATCAAGATAATATTTAGTTAATTTAAAAAAAAAAACTAAATTCCAACATACTTATAATATTATAAAATATAATACAGAAAAGCATATTTAAAACTTAACAATTATATGATTCAATTTTGTTTTATTTATTTGTAATAATGTTTATGAGTCCGTTTTTTCTGCAGTCAATGTAGATAAGTTGTTTACATTGAGCTCAAAACGACGTTGTTTTGGGACGAAAATCAAGGTATTTTTATAATTATAATTCATTTCAGAATTATAATAGTCTTTCTCATTATAATTTTTTAATCTTTTAATCCAAAATGATGTCATTTCGAGAATAAATGTAGATAACTTATCTATATTCACCATAGAAACATTACAGCCAATGTTTATATACACTTTTGAAATTTTATACATAATTCAAATGAAAATAAAAATATTTATATTACATGTTAATTGAGTTATTTATTTATTGAAAATTAAATAAATTCTCGCAGAAATCAAATATAAAAATCATGCTAACCTTGGTCAAGCATAGTAACTCATTTTAGCAGCTACTATTCCTCACAAGGTTCCGCCCAGCACAGAATATCTCAGTCAACTCAAACTGGCTTACAATTCTCCCATATTATACAGTTAACTGTGTAGCTAGATTCCAATAACTAACAGAATATCATTTTAAAGATGTTCAAAATGTCCAAAAGAACTAAACTGATTCATAACCAAACTGCTCCATATTTTAAAAATCGGTTATGTTTAAAAACCGATTTCATATGAAACTGTATTTTATTTTATAAACTAGTTATTTACCAAACCATAAAAATAACTGGTTATTCATGATTATCCATAACCAAACTACTCTACAATTAAAGAACAAATAAGTATTACCTTTTATCATGCCTATTATATTAGTCAATTGACTCAAACTTCCAAACAATGAACTAGCAAAAAAAAATTAAGCAGCTCAAGTTGAAAACATTTATTTAAAAAGAAATTACACATAAATCGAAATGTCGCATCCTAAGAAAGCACTTATGTAACATAACAACTTTTTTTCCCAAAAAAAAAAAAAAACCACATATAGGCCTCCGGGCAAACTCATAACTTGACAAGACTTTGAAATGACAAAGATAAAGTTAAAAAATTATAACAAAAAGGGCAACGAAATTAATCAATTGACTTAACGTCTCCGAGAGCCCCGTTAAAAGAACAACTCACAATTGATTTACTTATTTATTAATGGATAACCAATTATTTTTATGGTTCGGTAAATAACCAGTTTATAAAAATAAAATACAATTTCATATAAAACCGATTTTTAAAATGTGGAGCAGTTTGGTTATGGATTGATTTAGTTCTTTTGGACATTTTTAACATCCTTACCCATACCTTCCTCCACCAGTTCAAATGAAACTCTAGTAACATAAATCTTGAGAGAACGAAGAACAATTTTTTTTTTATAATTTTAAAATAATTCAACTGTTCTCCTACCAATCACTCTCAAAACAACGTGAAACAATTTCTATAAAAATTATTTTTTCCGGAGAGTTCCAAGTCAATGAAGATTCTTGCAAGAAATAGTTGGTCAACTACCTATAACCGGGAGAAACAAACGACTACTTATAAAAATAGCAACCATCAAAAATCGATTTTGAATTTGTTAAAAAATCGCTTTTAAACTTGATAACCGATTTATGGTTCATAACCGGTTTTGATTTAAAACCGATTTTGAATTAAAATCGGTTTTAAATCAGAACCAGTTATAAATCATAAACCGGTTTTGGAACCGGTTTCAAACTGGTTTAGAAAATTAAAAACCGGTTTTAAAAGAAGAAAATTGATTCGGTTTGAAAATCAAACCGTTTAAAACTGGTTTGGTTCGATTTTTGTTAAAACTGATTATGAACCGCTCCATGCACACCCCTAGGCGTATGCAATAAGTTGGATGACAAAGATAGATCAAAGAAACAGGTTTAACAATGTTGACTATGTGGCTGTACATCCAAAGCAAATTGATCCTCTCATGTGCTATCTAATAATATCATATAAAAATATTTAATCATTCATGGACAAATTAACGATGATGAGACCAGAAATATAAAAAAACGTTTGAATAAGGAATAACAAAATCATCACCATAAATAATTATGATCTTCTCATATGATATAATTGTATTAAATTACATATAAAAGGATCCACTCCACTCCCATATGTAAATACTTTCTTTAACTCCAAAAGCTGGCACAACCAATATATGAAAACTTTGTGCAAAGGATTTCTAACCATTAGAAACTTTGAAATGATAAAAGAAAAGGAGAGTTTTTCTTAAACAATCCATGTTTATGACCATATCAGTATCCAAAGCCCTCAAAACTGGTTGCCTAGCAAATCCAGATACTTTTTATTTTATTTTATTGGGGGCTCCAAATCAGTGGAGCAAAGAATGTAGCACTGAACAATTTACATGATATCCGTCCTCCCTCATTTAATAAGCAATCACTTCCCTCTTTCTAACCCATAAAATCTAAGGGTGAGAGAATTGTGCCCCTATCCACATAAGGAAAAACCTGAACAATCAAAAATACATTCCAAAATTTGCTAATAATCTCATATTTTGTACACATGTACGTAAGGGTAAGTAACAGATTGTGGGCAACCTGCCTTCTTTGCAAGTTTTCAAGTGCCAATATTGGGAGATATCCTTTAACCACTTCCTTTCCAAATGCCATCTCAGTAGAGAAGTAAGCAAAACCAAAAAAAGAGAGAGAACACATTATATACAGTATCGAGTTACTCTCTAGCACCGCCAAGACCAGCACGAGTTATTGCTTCTGTTGCAATCAAAACCAGATGTACAAGCTTATCTACATCTTGGAAACTGAAATCAACAACTTCCCTAATAGAAGTTATACAGTCCATATTCCCTGCCTCTTCCATTATCAACTTAGCAATCCTGAAAGTGCTCTGGCATTTTCTAGAAGCCTCCATTGCAAAATCTATGTCCCGATTCTGCAAAATCACATGCTAACTTTTACCCATAGTGACGTTTCATTAAAAAAGATGATGATCATAATAAGTACATAATATAATGAGACTCAATAAATCTAAAACGCTTATTATTTAAGGAGAAGCATGAAAGACAAAAGGAAGAAACAATACAGTAAGCTTGAGATTTTACCTCCAACAAAAACTAAAAAATGCTTTGCATTAAAAGCGCGAAGAGACAATTGCCAGTATGACAGTCAACATTATTCTATGATTGTTATGTAACAGAATCACTAGTAGTACTTTCAAAGAAATACAGGTATTAGCCAAGATCTTGCATTCGACAGAAAACTGGTTCTATGGAACAAAATCTTAACTTCCTATCTAGCATAGAAAGACCAGCTTCTTTCTAGTAGTCTAGTACATAACCAATTTCCCACTATTATCTTGAATCAGTAAACTGCTAGATCCCCAACAATAGTTCCATGGTACTTCAGGATCAAAGCACCTAGATAGACTTTCCAAATGAAACATAAGGAGTGCCAAGAAATTAAAACTTACAAAATCAAGAAGTCTGACAATATTTGGGCAAGTTCGAGCAGATATGACTTGATTATCAGCAACATGAGTATTATTACACATTGGCAATGTAGCCTTATCTATTGCCGCCACATTGTTTAAGTTATCAATATCGGATGCAAACGATGAAGGAGATTCGCCTAAAGAATAGAGTAAAAAAAAAAAAAAGTTAAACATCATCAACATACAGCAATGCTAAAAAATCCTGAAGACATAAATACTTATATCAATACTATGTTCAATTACCTTGAGAAACCATTTGTAGAATTGATTGCAACTCATGCCGATCCTTGTCTATGCTAGAATGTTTACAGTAAACCATTCTCATGTAAACCACCTCCATGCATTTATAAGCCAAAGCAGCAGCGGCCATTTCTTGGCTTCTTTCATATTTATGGGCACATGATCTGGAATTAATTTTAAGGCATTGTATGATTAAAAGCCAACTAAGGCAAATAGATCAAGAAAAGGACAACAGCCCATCAAATTTCTAGTGTAATGTGATTGCATCAAGAGTTCATTGAACGAACAATATGTCTTTAACAGCACAAAGCAGCAGTGAAACACAGATTTAATTGTGCTAGGAAAGCACTGACGACAAAGTTGAGGAGTTTTAATTTAATGTAGTGGTCGGAGGTGTGTTAATTGAAGGTAGCGATTCACCTTTGTATCCCATAAATGACATACAAGACCCCCACTAGATCCAAACTCATGTTTAGGGTACAGACAAGCAAACAAGTTAGGTTAAGTAATTGTAAAAACATTATTATATTTAGTTGCTACAGTCCATAATTGAAGTCTCAAAACGAAAGTTTGAAATCGCCAATTTACAACAAATTCTCAAACCTTTTTTTTTTCAAAATGTACTTTGACCAATAACAGCATAAATCTAATCTCATAAAAGTAAAAAATTTAAGCATAGCTTCTGAATTTTCCTTACTCAAAAAGTTTAGCTGTAGTAGCATATATTTCCATTTGACTCGTTTCTCCAAGCTTGCTACTCTCACTGGGACAGTGTTCTAGAAGTGATGCTCCATGCAGAAACTTCAAGGCAGCTTTAAAATAAGTCTCATTACTTTCAAACTCAAACTCAGAGCTCTACAGACAGCATTTAAACCATCAGTTAGAAAAAGAAAGATGCTACATCAAACAAATAGACGTGAAGTAAAAATCTTAAAATGATCAAATAACCTTATAATGATCTGCAGAATCTTTTAGCTTTGTGGCTTCTTCCAGAATGCTAAAGGCAGTTTGGTTAGAATTTGTAGTCATAGGACTTGACACACTGAGTTGTTCAGCAGGCATGAAATTTCCTGAACTGCGATTAACTCCAGCCTTGCAACTAACATCAGCAGAATTCCTCACTAACTTAGCAACATCACCATTGCCAGACGCATGGACTGGATACCCATTAGACATATCTCCCTGTTGAGACCCAGAAGCAATTCTAGAACCCACATATAATGTTTCCCTTTTTGCTTCACCCTCTGAAGATGAGAGAACTTTGGCTTTCCCATCTCTTGATCCAGTGCGTACTGGATTAGCTTTGTTTTCTTCCTCAAAGTTCTGAATCAGGTTCTGCTGGTAGATAACCTTTCTGTTAGTGCTACATGGAGCATCCACTTTCAGAACTGAATTCTCAAAATCTTTTTGTTTGAGCTCAGCTCGCTTGCCAGTTTCACTTGACCAATGCCTTAAAGAATTTTTCTTACTAAGGTTGTCAATCTTGGCTTTAGACATAGGAGAACTGTTTTTAGCATCATTTCTTGTCTCAGTAACAGAAGCATGATAACAAGGATCAACTGGTGACTCATATCTCACACCATTTTTGGAATAACCATTCTCTAAAGCTGATGCCTTCATCGTATCCCTGCTAACCTCAGAACCAGACCCTTTGTCCTTTTCCTTAACCCGTAATGATGTAACCCTACCAGATTTCTGCCAAGAAAGTGCATTTTCCTTATTATTCTTTTTCATTTTCTCCTCATGATGTGAACCATTGCCACCATGTTGTCGAGGATGTGGATCACGTGAAATTCTCCCCTCCTTCATTTTTACTGATAGCTTTCCCTCCCTATTTCTGAAACTCATTGAAGAAAGACCACCTTTTCTAGCATTATCTTTCTCTGATGTGTCCCCTACTGCCAAAATACACTTGTCCAAGTTGGAGGCCCTCAAAGGTGACGATGTAACACATTCTACTGGTGAACCTCTGACATGTTCAAGGTTAGGTCTAGCTTTCTGAGACCCTGAAACCTTAGAAGAGCTTGAAGTTGCTGCCAATGAAAGTTGTCCAGAGCCCAAATCCTTCCTCAATGTATCAAAACAATCCAAAGCTTGGCGAGATGCAATATTTTTTCTGAGCTTCCTTGTCTGCTGGGCCTTATCAACACTTTTCAACTCTGTCGTAACAGTCGTTTGGTCCCTGCTGTTTGACAAGAAAACTCGCTTCATCCCACCTTCTATACTCAATTTATCATCACCTACACTTACTGGTTTTGCCTCAGTATTTAAAACTCTGTACTTCTTTTCCTTCATAAACCCACGTACATTGCCCTCTTCACCACAGCACATATCATCTTGCAAGGACATTGTGTCATTATGTTTCTCATTATCCAGCCAGTCTTTTGATTTCCTCTTCTTAATCGAACAATCATTTTTATTGCTGTTCATTACACCCAATGACCCATCACCTGACGAGGACTGTGCCCGGTTTCCTTTCTTTACAGGAACTACCAATGTGTCCTGTAGATCCTCAGATAAACAATGCTCATCATATTTCCTCATATTCTTCCCACTAGCCTTTGTTGGCAAACCATTTCTTGAATTTGGACCCACCTTCTCAAAGTGCATACCAGGATTCGGTTGTTTATCAGTATAGGAAACATCTTCAGTCTTAGATTTCTTAGGGATTCCAGATCTATGTTCATTAGCATCCATCTTACCTTTCAATTTAACATGATTTCTGTCAACTGCACACATTTGACGATATCATTAACATTTTCAATTAAAAAAATATATAAATAGTTATTCACACCATCAAAAAAATCTGAAGCAACAATATATAAATCCTTAAATGAATGAGATACCTCCATTCATTTGTTTTTCTTTCTCTTTAGGTATGCCTTTCTCTTCTATTAAATTGTTCAACCCGCTCAAATGTTTAGAACTAGATTTCTTCAAGCAGTTTGAGTCTGCAGGCTGCTGATTCATGTCATTCAAGCTTCTATTTTTTCCAGATTCTTGAGCATGGTTCTTTGCTCTATTTGACAACTGATGTATGTCATTATTGATTCCTGACTTTGTCTTTTCCTTAATACCACGTTTCTTCTTTCCTAGATCAAACATTACACCAGAACTGGACTTTTTGTGATTCAGGTCAAATTGCAGAGCATCAGCAGCTCCATTTTCAGGTCCAGTGGCATGGCTTTGCACGTTACTTTGACCCTCAGAAATTGGCATTTGACATAAATTATAAATTGCTTTTGTTGTCTCCTCCTCAAGGATGTCGCACCGATTCATTCCAGGCCTAACAACAAATTCAGAAGAACAATGAGTAGAAAATAATACATACAACACAGACCAAATGTATGCACACATGGAGAAAGATGTATTATAATTTGCAAGCCACTGCTCAATTCTGCTTATAAATTATAATACACATCAAACTAAGTTTTTAACCAGCATAATATGCTCATGCATAAGCCCAAAATGAGGAATCAACTTACAGCCAATACATCATGCTGCACAACCATTTATCTGGAAGCTGATCTGGCTTTAAACCAGTAGGTAGAAGCCGCCATTTCTCGCAACTATCACAACATACCCAATCTTCAATAAGTTGAGGTGCTGCTGCTGCTGGTGGTGGAACCATCTCAAGAGTAGGTTGACTTTCAGCAATGGGAAATGCACTTGTATCATCTTTTACGCTTGGCACATCTAACAACTGATTATCCACTTTATGGCCACTCGGTTGTTCCTTTACTTTAACCCTGTGCACACCCTTTTCTTCAATGTTATCAAGGTTAGCATTTATTGTAGCCTTATTAATAGGAGGACAATCAGCTGGATCTATTCCATCAACTTTCCGTTCTGACTTTTTTCCTTTCAAAAAGTCTCTGACCTTATTACCCTTGAGTGACTTTATTTTAAGCATTTTACTTTTACAAGAAGTATCACCAAAGCCAGCACTCTTTTTATCAGTTACCATGGCATTATTACTAGCCCCAGTGATATCTTTTTTTGCAGCAGACATAACTTTTCCAGGACTCCATTTACCTTTTGAATTAGTTTTGCCCTCATATGTTGCCTTTCCTTTTTGAGTAGTCTCACGCTTTTGAGTATCCAGATCCACCTTACATTTTACTGCATCATGCTCAGCCTTTTTTGAAAACAAGAAAGCATTACACTTTCCATTATTCTTCAGATTAGTAGACTTATTATTCTGGGAAATTTCCGGTTTATGCTCCAAAACTTTTTTCATAAATCTATTTCCAGTATTTTTCCTCTCAATCTTTTCAAAACCCTGACCAGATATCGACTCCAATGAGTCCTCCTTCACTGCTTCAATGGAAACCATTCTGCATTCCAGCCCATCCTTATTGACCTCCTTGGATACTTCAAAGGCCTTACCAGAGTATTCAACAGTTTCACCAGCATCGCCAATTGAACTTGACAGAGGTGTGCATTTCAAGTCATAAGAAAGAAATTCCTTACGATCTGGAGTGCTATTTCCTAATCTTTTCTTCATATGCAACGTCATATCATTCTCAGAACAGTTATCATTTGTATGCTGTTTTTCACTTTGGCCCACCATTCCCACTTTCCTCTTCTTCAACAAATGTCTGTCCCCCACCAAAGAATCTGATTCATCAGTAGACACAGAAAAATGTTCTTGATGACCATTACAAGAAGACATAGGTCTGCTGTCTCCAATAACATTTTCCTTTCTTATCAAGTAGAGCAGACTGTCGTGTAGAGGTGATATTAGCACACCCCCAGGGATAGTGAAGGATGTCATAACCTATAGCATCAAATTATATAACAATTAAAGAAATATATATATTTTTTAGTTTTTCTAATGTGGATAAACTCGTACACAAAGAAATAGTAAAGGTCCTCTACCTGAACAATGCCAGTTGGAGATTTTTCAGGGGTCTCTTGAGATACAAGTGGCAGGCCTTCACTTTCCTCAGGGCTGTTCCCCATTGATGAAGATGGAGAGTTATCAAGCCCAAGACCACTATAAATTGCTGCTTTGTCTTTTGCTAACATATTGATTCGCAACTTCAGAGTTCTTTGGTCAGTTGAATTTTCTGACTTATTTGCACAATCATCTTTCGAAGTGCACTTCTCCATTACTGCATTGGAAGAAATTCCTGCGTCCTTCTTCACTGAGACATCTACAGAAGGTCCTCTTAAATTATGAAATGGATGGGCATTATGGGAAGCAGTTCCAAGCCTCATTAGAGGCATATTTGAAGGTGCTTTTGAGTTATGAAATGCAGTCTGCATAACAACATAACCCACAGTGCTCAAGTAAATTGTACTTCTTCTAAGCTGACATATAACATAAATTAAACTCCCATTAGAGGGTAAAAAACAAAAACATAAATTTTGATATACCTCCATGTGGAGATTGCTTGGAGATTTTGTTGAACTGTAGTGTCTTTGTGGAGTCTTAGTATGAGATCGAAAAGGAGGAGAGCGTTCACAGGTAGGTAAAAAGGAGCCATAGTCACCAAATTTTGGACCTGAAAAAGTTATTGATATCATCCGATAATATCACTTTTGTGGGTGCGGAGAAAACTCTTTCGTTTCTTAGTACAAGGTATGACTTTTATTGTGTCACTTACCCAAATGCTTGGCAGAAACAGCACCCTCAAAGTCCTTTCGAAAATGGCCCAGAACATGCTGAATCCTCTCATCCTTCAATAAACAGGAAGCAAGTTGTTAGTCCAATTATTTTGAAGATGAAATTTAATCAAGAGGACATTAGAGTGAAAATGGCATCAGTCAACAATAATGACTAAGAATGAAGCATAATCATAGCAGGCACCATGAAGCCCAGCAACAAGAATTCACCAATTATCGTGATTTTTATTATTTATTTCCTAGGTAATAATCTTCTCCTCGGGCCAAAATATAAATGCACATTAGCATAACATCAACAATCTAAGAAACAGCAAGAAGATAAACTTGCATCACGACTATTTTGCAAAAGTACAATGATGTAGCACACAGTTATTGATGATGGGAGGGGTTGGGTGTGGCAGACAGTATACACAGTGGCTTGGTAAGGGGTAACTAGTCAACTATGTTTTCCACATGTAGCGACGACATGGCAAGAAAAGCATCTACAGCATCCCTAGACCAACAAAATTAATTCATAGTATGTATTGGCAGTGTTGAAGAATTGATTCACTATGCTTGTCAGTTCACAAGAAACTCAAGGCATTATATAATGTTTCTGATTCTCTTCATTAGTACTGGATTTCTTTTCCAGTGACGAAACAAAATTTTGTTTAATCATGACAAATTCAATAACTATTCCATTACCTATATTTCCTCAGGAACCAAACACATTGATAAATTGAAATATCATGTTCATTGATACCATTATTATAGTACTCAATGATATTATATGTTTGTCCCATTTGCGTGCATAATAGAAAAGTACACTGGCTGAGAAATAGAAGAGAAATTAAACCAAATTAAAATGGGAAAAGTTGAACTTGGTTAAGATTTCAAGTAAGCCCTTACAATGTAAGAGAGTGAGTCAAGGTCAATGTTGTCGTCAACATGCTTATAACAGTAAGCCTCTCCTTCCTCGAACTCAGGAAAGCCTTGCATCTCGACCACCCACAAAATTTGGCCCTAACCCAAACTCCACAACACAAATAGTAACCCCTTCACACTGGAATTTTCCCTGAAGTCCAGCATCACTTCAATTACTTCAATTCAACCACAAAAAAATGACAAAAAAAAAAAAAAAACTTTTTTTTATTAAAAAATAAAAAGACACACAAAACCCTCCAAAGCCCAGAAGGGAAACACGAAGAAACCAACTCTGATCATGCCATGAGACAATCCTTCATATGAATTATTACTTGCATTAAAAAATTAACTTTGGCTTCCACCCCACAATCAAGTGAAGATTGATCAGACTGTGAAAATCGGAGAACCGATCAGTGCCGACTCTACTGAGTTTTGACGCCGAGTTCAAACGGATTACAAACAATCTTTCACGATGTGCAGGGCACAGAAAAACCTGGGTTTTGGTCTATGAATTTTCGTTAATCCTTGTTTTTTTTTGGGAAAAACATATATCATTCTAAATTAAATTCAAATATTTTTCCGTTTTTATTTCCTATTAATTAAGAATGATTAAGATTAATTAGGATTGATTGTTTTTTATTTCCTATTAATTAGGATTAATTGTAATTGATTAGAATTAATTATGATTAGGTTTAGTGAGTCATTCTTATGATTGTGATTAGGTTTGGTAAGTCATAGCTGAGTCATGCTTAGCTATTTTTTTTGTATAAATACTCCTCATTCCTCATGTAATAATTATATGTCATTTTATATCTAACCGTTGATTTTTGTCCATCAACGGTTATAATCTATTGGGCCAAATTTAATGGGCTAAATTTAAGAAGGGAATAATATCTGTCATTTTAAAGGATATAAATTTTTATCCTTTTAGATTTTAACTGTTGATTTTCGTCCATCAACGATTATAATTTATTAGATTAAAATTATTAATTAATTAATAATAAATTTGGCCCATTAAGTTTGGCTCAATAGATTATAACCGTTGATGGACGAAAATCAACGGTTAGGATATAAAAGAATATAAACTTATATCTTTTAAAAAAATAAATGTTTTTCTCAATAATTAAAAATAAAAAACAATTTTTATTTGGATATAAATAAATAAATCGGCCTAAACCCTAAATTATATCTAATAGTAATAGGCATACGGTTCGGCTCGCCTTACCTTTCTCTCGTATGGATGGAAAAGTGGTTATATTATTTTATCATAATCGGTTGTTTAAAAATTATATATATTTTTTATCTCATCATCAATGAATGATTGTGATCATATAACATGACAAATTTTTCACATAACAAAATCCAACTTATCAAATGTCTACTTCTTGATTATTTTTTAAATAAAAATATTTATTGATTTTTAACGAAGATTTTTAAGTATTCTAAACAAATTATGTGGTATTTAATTGAGACAATTGAAACTTCTTTATTAAGATATCCAATCTAATAGTATTGAATCAATATCTTAAACAAGAAATAAAAATCTTTTGTCATTCAAAAAATTGATGATTTAAATGGATTTTTTTTATTAATATGGATTTTGTGTGATTTTTTAACGAGAGGTATAAATATTATACTTTTCTACAATCTCATCCCAACCAACTTATCTGAAAATTTCCAAACAAAAAATAAATAAATAAATAAATAAAAATAGATAACAAAATAAATCACACACATAAACACATGCTTATCAAACGATAACAAGATACGTAGATGCATACAACACTTATAAGTCAAATAATATGTTATTATTTTAATGGAAAACTAGGAAAGATAAAATTTTGTCAATAAGATAAAAAAGAGAGCAAGAAGTACAAAGAATGTGGACCCACTCTCAGTTGCGAAAAAATCTCAAGAGTCAATGGTGAGCGATGGATGGTTTAAAAGGGATGAAAAGTTGATAAGGGAGCAAAAGTGTAGCAAAATTTGGCGTAGGAGGAAAAAGTAGTGGTGCAGAGGAATTTAGGGTTAAGAAAATGGGTTTAATGTTTCTGCTTTTGCTGCAAAAAAACTTCTATGTCACATTGACATAAAAGTGACTGAGTCCCTGTAATATCCCAGGAAAATAATAGTAATTTATAATACAATAAATTAATGATGGTAATAAATTATAAATTAGTGGTAATAATAATAATGTGTGATAAATTGTGATTAATTGATTGATCATTGATGCTTTAATGTTTGATTATTTGATTGGTAATGTTTGATTGGACTAGGATAAGTCAACAAACATAATTTGATTAGATACGATGAGTCAGCATTGAATCAATAATGAGTCAGTGATGAGTTAGCGATATTTTAAGATATAATAAAAAAAATAATGTATGAAGCCAATATCTGAGTCAAATACATTAATAAAGAAAAAGGAAATAAATGCACGAAACCCATATCCGAGCCCAAACCTTCAGCTATAAATAGAGGCATAGCTTAACCAAACCAATTCACTCTTCAACATTTCTCCTCTGTTACTCTATTTCTTCTTACTTCAAAAATTTATTTTATTTTATTTTTATATTCTTCTCGTTACCAACTGGTTCTCTGCCCCAAAATATTCTCTTTCTTGTAGAAGCTAGCGAAAACGGAGACCAGATAATCCTAATCCCTAGAGAGTCATAGGTTATACTGATATGAATTTTGATATATGTAATCCTAATCCTTAGGAAATTTTAGGATGTTTTCATATGTTATATGTAACCTTTAGGATATTTACATTAATTCTTTTTCTTTTAACTTTAGAAATTAATAGGATAAATTATTATTTTGGTATGAATAATTGAATTAAATTTATTTATAAATTAACCCTTTAACGATAATAAATAGGAATAATTTAATTATTTAAATTATGATATCTTGAATAACTATAATGATTTATATCAATATTGATATGATTAGAGCTTTATTGTAATAAATGTTTGAATTATGATTTGATATTTGAATTATGATTTGAAGAATTATGATATGATTGAATTTTCATATTTATATGATTGAATAATTATGATAATTGATGTGATGTGATTGTATGAATGACGATGATTAAATTTGGAGTTTACTATGATAAATGTTGAAAATTTGAATTGTTATATCCTTGAATAGATATGGAAAGTTATGATGACCTTGAGTAATGAATATATTGAAAGAATAAATTTTCAAATGTGATAATTGTGATATGATGATTGAGTGTGATTGTAAATAATTAATAGTGGGAGGATAGCTCTGGGATGGTACCTCCCAAAGTGATGAACACAACTTTTTGGGCTTTATGCCTTTGATATTTATTTGATGTGACAATGATGTTTCCGTTCTTCCCAAAGTGGTATCTGGCAACAGTGGTTATTTCCCGGGGTACTAGTAGCAACTTTGGGAAGAGGTGTGCACACTAGGATTTGATATTTTGATGATGGCCAAATTTGATGATACGTGACTGACAACAGTGGTTATTTCCCGGGTTACGGGGTAGACTGGCAACCGTGGTTATTTCCCGGGTCTACCATGGTTCTCTTCCCACTAAGTACGATGAACTTAAACATGATTAATAATGAAATGTTATTTGATTTGATTATGATGAATGTCATTGAATTGTGAATATTACCATTTATGTAATATTATGATTAATGTTGTGTTGAATGACAATTACCTTTACTAAATGGATTAAATAAATATTAATATAATTAATAACAAGTTGGTATTTGATTTGAATTTTTGAGTTATATTATTTTATTGGATTGTTATGAGTTACATTTTTATTTGTTTATTTATTTTTTTATTTTTTTATATCGGATTTGGATTACCAGCTTTGCTGACTTTTGTGTTTGTTTGACTGCAATGATCCTTCACGGGGGAGCAGATTTTCAGTGAAGCATGTTGCAAATGATGCGGCTAGCTGTGGGCAGTGAAGATCACGACTCGGATATTTTTAGCTAGTTTCTAAGTTTAGAAATTTTATGAGATTTAAATAAATGCATAAGACATATTTCATTTATTTAAACTTTAGTCTTTGATTTTGTTTTAATGTAATAAATTTAGCCTTGCACCTGTCCATAGTACAAGTGCGGCAGTAACACTTCCCAAATTTGATTATTTTGAACTTCCGCTGTTATTTATAAAAATTATTGAATTTATTTATGCTATTCTAAATTGTTAGAATTTGGGTGTTACAGTCCCACTTCAATATAAATATTTAAAATGTAAATCTAGAGTCTAAGGATAAATTAAATATCATCTATACATTTATTAAAACTTAAGCATAGCTTGAAATGTCTAAGACGTTATCCTCACTGTCAACTGCTAGCCTCAACCTTAAAAACCTGCTTGACTAAAGGACTTTGCTCCCTGGAGGATCATCATAGTACACAAAGTCAGCAAAAAACTGGTAATCCAAATCCAAAACTCAATAAGAATAACCATAGCTCAATCAATTAGCATAATTAGCTCAAGCATTAATCACGATATTTTATTAATGATAATCATAAATCAATCAATTAGTATAATTAGCTCAAGATCAATAACGATTTTTTATTAATAATAATCATAACTCAATACTTATTGTAAACAACTCAAGCAATAATCCAAATATGTCATTTAATCTTATTTAGTTTCATTTAATTTCATTTTGTTCACTCAGTAGGAATAGAACTATGGTAGACCCATAAAATCCTATTATTAGCCACGTGTCCACGTATAATTGAATTTTACCATCATCAAAACATCAAATCCTAGTGTGTGCACCTCTCCACAAAGTTGCTACTAGTACCTCAGAAAACTCTGTTGCCATGTACCACTTTGAAAAGAATGGATAACATCATTGTCACATCATATACTAACGAATGTATAAAGCCCAAAGATTGTGTTATCACTTTCAAGAGATATCATCCCAAAAGTTATCTTCTCACTATTATCTTATCACAATCACACATAATTAAGAAAATTCAATTTTTTCATAATTCACATATTTGAAAATTTTTCCTCCAAGAGTATCATAGTTTTCACATAAGTTGCTTAAGGGTATCACAATTTTTGATATTAGTTATCTAAGTGTGTTATAATTTTTATATCAAATACCCAACATTTATCAAAAGTAAAATCCATATCACACACAATCCATTATCCAATCATCTTATCAAAAATAAAATTCATGTCATCATTGTCAGGCATTATCAATGATCCATCATCTCCACCTATTATCATTAAACAATTAGGGTTATACTTATACCCAAAAATAATTATATAATTAATCATGCTATTTTATAGGGTTAAAATTTAATCCCAATAAAATTTCCAACAATATTCATACATAATTAACCTATAATACCCTAAGAATCCATATTTC